GAAGATCTCTGTTAAAACATCAGCAAAACTGAGAGAGGATCAGGCATTTATCAAATGGCCACTTTTTCCTGTTACCATCCTTTGTCTGTTCTGTTGGGCCTCTGGGATTGGAGAATTCAACTAAATCAGTTCTACTTTAATGCTGACCACAAAAGGACAGAGAAGGAAATGCAGAATTGATTGATGTAAATGACAAATCACATTTTACCTCTGCTGTCTACAGTAAATGGTTTAAAGAAACAGAGGTCTCAAAGGGAGAAAAGGATATTGGCCCAGGAGTTAGAAGGGAGAGTTCAAACTAGATCTGAAGTGGGATAAGGTTTGCTTGACAAACCTGATCACCTTCTGTGATGAAACAACTGCATGGATGCATGAGGGAGGGCAGTGGATACCATCCATCTTGACTCCAGCAAAGTTTTCAACACCGTGTTTCACAACACCCTCCTGGACAAGCTCAGCATGGGACGAGTGGGCAGTGAGATGATTGAGCGCTGGCCAAATGGAAAATCCCACTCATAATCAGTGGCACTGGGTCCATTTGGAGGCCTCTCACTGCTGTCCCTCAGGGTTGTTTAACCCTTTTATCAATGACTTCGATGAGGGGTCAGTGCCTCCTCATCATTTGTGAGGAGGCATCACATCAACATGTGCTGATGGCACAAAGCTGGGAGGGGTGCCCATAGCCCAGAGTGCTGTGAGCCCCTCAGAGGTACCTGGGCAGGCTGGGGAGGAGGGCAGAGAGGAACTGCCCAAAGTTCAGCACAGGCAAGTGCAAGGTCCTTCAGCTGTGGAGATTAAAAAGTGGGGAAAAGGGAGAAGTCCCAGGCACCAGCCCGGGCCGGGACTCAGTGCCTGGAGCAGCAGCTCTGTGGGGAAGGAGCTGGGGCTCCTGGTGGCCAAGGAGCTGTCCATGAGCAGCACTGGGCACGAGTGTGAAAAATGCATATTTTATGATTGGCTTTTCGCAGATATTAAAATGAATATTACATGTGTTATGTTAGAAACTTATGCTGTATTCGTTCTTTTAAGTAGTGTGTTAAATGTAGTTTTAGGTTATAACAACATGTTAAAATAGAAACTATGCTATGTAGGATACTTTTTTTTTTCTACAGAAAGGACTCATACTGAGATAACAGCCACAGGACACCTAAATCTTTCAGAGAAAGAGAATTTATTGCTCCATTATCAGGAGAAATGAACTTCTTCTTGCCTTGTTCGGGCAGGATGACGCTTTTAGGATTTTGAGGAAGAAGCTGACGCTGACCAGACAGAATCCTGTATTTGAATGGAATTTATGCATCATGTATGAGATGTATGAATATGCAACAGGTTATTGTTTTTAAGGGTTAATCCTCTGTTAACGTGGGTCCTTTTTCAGGCTTATGCTGCCCAGAAAAAGGTACCCGGACTGTCCATAACTCTTTGTTTCTATTGTCTCATGTTGTCCTAATTCAAATTGTCCAAATTATTATTACTCTAATTGTATTACTATTTTTATAGCCATTTTATTACTACTAAACTTTTAAAATTTTAAAAACAAGTGATTGGTGTTTTCCACAGAGAGCATTTCCAGCAGGTCAGGGGTGATGCTGACCCACTGCTCAGCCCTGGCCAGGCCTCCCCTGGAGGTCCCTACCAACCTGACCCACCCTGTGAAATAAAATCTGCACCCCAGCCACAGTTACATATATTTAATACATGCATTACATGCTCTTTTAATTCCTAAGCTGTGTTTTTTTTTTAATGTAAGTGTTTTTCAAAACAGCATTCAAAACAGCAAATTTCCATTTGTGGAGAATAATCAGTGTGATTATTCAGAGGCTGCTTCACAAAGAGGCAATTAAAATATCAAGGTGAGGGGTCTTAACACAAAAAAAGCTCTCTTCTTCCTTTTTAAGATTATTAATTTATAGTGCAGAATTTTAAGATGCTCTAGGAATAATGTCCCACTCATGTCTTCTCCCTTATGCCAGTACAAGCTTCCATCCTGCTGCACAGTAAACTGGGCTGGTGGGCTGGAACAATTCCTTTGGCAGCAGCAGCATGTATTGAAGTGACTGAAACTAGGAAACATCTTCTGTCATTTTAGGAAAATTACTGTAAAGATAAACTTCAAAATTCTCCTCTGAAAAAGGGCTTCAGCAGATGAAACAGCGAATTCTTTAATCAAAGCAACACAAAATGTCAAACCAGTACCAGTTTATTTGATTTCTGAAGTCACTAGTAGCAGGAAACAAACTGTTGCTTCTGGATTTTTATTCATGGCACTGTTTATACTTCTTCAGGGCAAAAAAAAAAAAAAAAAAAATCAAAAACAAACCCCACAATTATAGTAAAACTAAGAATTTTAATTCTATTACTGAAATAATTGTTCATATCGATACTGTCATTGGATTAAACAGATCAGAAAAAAAGAAGTCTCGTTTCTATTATTTTTTAACACAGTGTTATGGAACAGCTGGGTAGAAACTTTCAAAACTGTTTTGAGAATGAGAACCAGGTATTACAGTTCATGAGTTCGAGCATTTTATTCATGCCTAAGGTGACAGAGCACCAACTTTTGGGGTGGGGGGGAGCAGCTTTCACGGAATTGGTTGGATAAGAGTTGCTTATCACCCTTACACAAGGGCTGTGCAAATCTCCCACAGCACGAACCTGCACAGCAGGCCGGTGTGAGGATGATTTTAGCATTTCCCTGCTCGGCTCACACAGGCACCGAGGAGCCGGCGGGGAGCGAATCCACCGCGGCACATCCGGAGCTGGCGGGGCCGCGGAGGCCTCCCCGGGCACCGCAGCGATGAAGGAGAGCCCGCGGAGAGCCCGCTCCGGGCTGCCCGGCCCCTCACGGCCGCCACGGAGCGCGGGCAGGAAAGGCACGGAGCTCCCACAGCAGCCGCACCGGGAGAACCGCTGTGGCAGACCCCGGCCCCATTCCCCTCAAGGCTCTCCCCTCCACGTCCGCCATTTTAAACCGTCCCCACCCGCCCGCGCCACAAGCGATTCACTTCCCCATCGCTTTTTTTCCCTCGGCGGGGTTTGTCGCCTCTCTCCCTCTCCCACACACACTGCTGTGCCCTAATTTTTTATTGTTGCTGCTATTTTGGGGTGGTTTTTTTACGGTTTTCAACACACATTGTTCAAAAATTTCCCCGCCTCCACCGAGCCCTTCCGGGTCACGGCGGCGGCTTTTCAACAACCACTTTCCAATCGCCGCGCAAATTATTAATTTACAGGGGGATTCCCCACACTCCCTCCGGGACCACCTCGAGAAAAAAGAGGAAAAAGGGATCGGGGGTCGCTCCCGCGGCGCCGCGGGCGGGGCGGTGCCGCGTTTCCTTCCGGGGCGCCGCCGGCCATTTTGTGGCGTTAAGCCGCGCGCGCGGGCGGTTCCCTCTCATTTCCTCGTCGCGGCGGGACGGGGCGGCCGCTCCTGGCGCTTCGCTCCGGCCTCGGGCCGCCCCTCGGACCCTGAGGTGGGTGCTGCTCCCTGCGGACCCCGCGGCTTTCCCCTATGCACTGCAGCTTTCCTCCTTTTTGGACTCGCCTCGCGGCGTGAGGCGCGTCGCCCTCAGGGCCGCGCCGGCTGCTGACCCCCTTGAAACCCCTCAGGTTTATTCTCTTCGTCCGCCGCCGCCCCTCAGGGGCTCCTGCCCACCATGAGCTACGGCCGCCCGCCGCCCGATGTGGAGGGCATGACGTCCCTCAAGGTGGATAACCTGACCTACCGCACCTCCCCGGACACCCTCCGGAGGGTCTTTGAGAAATACGGCCGCGTGGGCGACGTCTACATCCCGCGGGACCGCTACACCAAGGAGAGCCGAGGCTTCGCCTTCGTGCGCTTCCACGACAAGCGGGACGCGGAGGACGCGATGGACGCGATGGACGGGGCGGTGCTGGACGGCCGGGAGCTCCGCGTGCAGATGGCCCGCTACGGCCGCCCGCCCGACTCGCACCACAGCCGCCGCGGGCCGCCGCCCCGCCGGTACAGCAGCAGCGGCTACGGCCGCCGCAGCCGCAGGTGAGCGCCGCGGAACGGGCAGCGGAGTTTGGGCAGTAAAGGCGATGAGCCTCAGCTGTGCGCCTGTGCAGTGAGAGCCGTTTGTTTTCATGTTGGTTGCCTAGAGAGGTAGCGAGGTCTCCGTCACTGAATGGTAGGGACGCAGAGTTGAGCCATGCGCTCTAGGCCGATCCTGCTTAAGCAGGAAGGTTGGACCGGGTGACCCACTGTTGCCCCTTCTAAGCGGACCGATTCTGGGATTCTGTGTCCTTTTCCTAATGAGTTTCGCGGTGGGGCTGGGAAGAGGAAGTGGGGGTTTACTAGAGGTTTACTGGCACAGGCACGTGGGGTTCCCTCGGAGTGGAAGAGTTTCGCCCTGTAGTAGGTTTAGCCCCCGGCCACTCACTCTGAACAATGGCGCCCTCGTAACACTCATTTTCTTGCCCACGTGCGTCCTGTTCCGCCTTCCCTGTCCCGCAGCACTCGCTCCGGTCCGTGCGTCACCTCTGAGCAACTTCTAACGCGCCCTTTTCTTTTTCTTTCCTCCTGGTGTGTTTTAGCCCTAGAAGACGCCGTCGCAGCCGATCTAGAAGCAGGAGCCGCTCTAGGTCCCGCAGTCGGTCCCGCTACAGTCGATCCAAATCCCGGTCTCGCACACGCTCTCGGTCTCGCTCCACCTCCAAGTCCAGATCTGCCAGGAGATCCAAGTCAAAGTCCTCATCTGTCTCCAGATCCCGATCCAGGTCAAGATCCCGGTCTAGATCTAGAAGCCCTCCCCCTGCCTCAAAGAGGGAATCCAACTCTAGATCCAGGTCTAAGAGCCCTCCTAAGTCTCCGGAAGAAGAAGGAGCTGTATCCTCCTAGGAACATGGTAATGTACCTCGGGGTCAGCACAGGATGCATGTTACTTTATTAGATCGCTTAGGTGGGGTGTTGGGTAGTTCTTGGAGCATTAATAGCCTGAACCAAGTGAATCCTAGTGGGGCACATTGTTAGTTATTGGTTTTGGTTTTTTTTTTCTTGAGCAGTGATTTTTTTGGTTATTGATTTAGGGAAATAATTACTGAAGGGTTTTCTACGGAGAAATTTTTTTTTTTAAACAGAGAAAATGTTTTATTGCAAGATTAATGCCTTGGTTTTAATAAAATATTGTATGAGACGCAACCTATGATGAAAATGACTATTTCTTACTGTATTTATCCAACATCTGCATTTTCCCCTTTAAAGCTGCGGTCTCCTGTTTGCTAAAAGAATATTGGCCAGTATTGCAGATTTTAACTGATTTGGCTGATCCTCCAGGGACCAGTTTCTGTGGGCGTGTGTTGGAGCAGGTTTGTCTTACACTGTTAAAGATACACTATCCTTTTAGAACGGAAGATCGGTTCAGTGGCCGTTGTACTGACTGGAGGTAATAACTGTCCTAGAAAAGTGGTAAAATTCCTTGCAACGAGAAAACCACGGAAACTAGTTTTTCCTCAAGTCGACATCTTGAAGAGGCATCTAAGGATACACTGGGTGGGGAAAGGATAGTGTGTCTTTAACCCTTCAAACTGTTTGGTCCTATTTTTTAAAAGGAAAGGGCCTGAGCTAGCTCTGGAGTTAGATAACTGTAGCAAAATTAGTCACATTTTCGGTTTTGACTGCTAATTAGAGCTTAGTTAAGTCTTTATGAAGAAGTATTAGTTTTGTAACTTTTATAAAACTCTGAATAATTGAGTGGTGAACAGGCTGAATTGAAGTTAATGGTGGCTTGATCCACAGCCTGGTGCTTATTCTCCTTTGTAACTAAATATTTTAACCAAACCTTACATTTGGCCTCTGAAGTAAAGCAACACACGGGGGGAGGTGGAACACTGTGGAAATTTCTAAAACTTAATTAAATTAGTCAAAGCCAGTTGAAACACAACTAGAAGTATCCCTGAAGTCATCCACACCCAAAATGGACAAGGTAGAAACCTGGCTGAATTTTTCTCTCTTCAAACCTAGATGCTTCAGCTAAATGAGAGCCCAGATAAAGGACGCCTTTGGGGGGAAAAGATCGCTTGAGTCTTCAGCCCATTGGAGAGACCCTGGCCGAGCAACCAGCTGTTGAAAAGGTTATTTTGTAACATTTTGTCTAACTTTTTACTTGTTTAAGTTGCGCCTCAAGTGGCAGATTTTACATTTTATGTGCCATTTTGTTGCTGTTATTCAAATTTCTTGTAATTTAGTGAAGTGAACGACTACCGATTTCAATATTGGCTTGGATATTTGAGGTAAAACTTCATTTTTGTTTATATAGTGCTGACTTCTATTGGAAATTAAAATCGATGGTAACTTGCTGCCTCCAGTTTCATACTGAGGAATCATGCAGCCGTTATATGCTGATAGCTAACTGTCAAAAAGTACTCTCAATTTTATTTTGAATCCTTAAATAAGTCCACAAAACTTCAACTTGAAACTTACTGTAAATGCTTTTTTTTTTTTTTTTTAAAGAAAGAAAAACTTTGACTTAAAATAGCATCTTCAAATTCAAATTGATAGAAATCTTTTCAGGTGACAGTTGATATTTGCAAGGATTGTTTTACCAGACTCAATTCTAATCTCTTCTCTTATGTATTTTTGTGCACTAGGCGCAGTTGTGTAGCAGTTGAGTAATGCTGGTTAGCTGTTAAGGTGGCGTGTTGCAGTGCAGAGTGCTTGGCTGTTTCCTGTTGTCTCCTGATTGCTCCTGTGTATGATGCCTTGTCGTGCAGAAACAAATGGCTGTCCAGTTAATTAAAATGCCTGACAACTGCACTTCCAGTCACCCGGGCCTTGCGTAAAATAATGGAGCATACAGTGAGCACATCTAGCTGATGATATACACACCTTATTTTTTCCAGAATGGTAAAACTTACCAACCTACATATATGAACTTACATATGAGAATTGTAATGTTAAGCAAAAAAATGGTTCATTCCTTTGTAAGTACTGATTGGTGTATCTTTTGCTTAAGACATTCTGTACTATACCCACTGTCTCTGTAGTTAATATTAAACATTTTTTTCTGTGTTAACTTTTCTCAACTTAATGTCTTGGGTCAGCTTATTTTTAGCTTGAAAAGATTTCTGCAATTATACTGTCAATGTTTAACTTCTATATAGTAACTAAATGCATTCTACTGCTTATAAATTTTATCCACTGGGGTTGCTTTGAAATTACCGTGGGCAAACTTTAATTAGTATTGTTACTAACCCAATGCTGTGTGGCAGGTGGTAACACACCAGGCCACGAACACAGACCCAGCCTGGGATGGTGTTTGGGAGGTCCACACTGAGCAGTACTAATAATTGCATTGCTGTGTGCTTGCCCTGGCTCACCAGGCTGCTGCTTGACAGGGGCTGATCTTTACAGTGATGATTTCTCTTGATTTGGTACCAAATGACTTGTAACTTCAAACATCCTGTGTCAAGGGTTATTGTAATGCCTTGTTTTATCTTATGCATGTATGTTCAATGGGAATGGAAACATCTGAACACTGGCAGTATGGCTTTGTTGAGGATTAAAAGTACTTTTCTACAAACTGAGGAGTTTGTATGTTCTAGGTCAGTGCAGTCTCCACACACTCATTTACCAACAGAGGGGCTGGATTTTGTATGTGGGACTTTGGGAAGGATTCTCAGTCCTGGGAAAAGGATCTTATGGGAATGGGTTTTTTATTTTAAGAGTGCAGTTACCTTTTCATAGCTGAAGCTGTGGATTTAGGCTGGATCTTGTGGATTTCCAGGTTAAACTCTGTTTTGTAGTGACTCACATGATGGAATTGAGGCTCTGAACTATTTCATGGACTTGGGGGAGGAACACAAATTTCTCAAAAGCCATAGCTGGAAAACCAAACAACTTTATTTTTACAATGCATGTTTTAAGAATTGCTGCTTCCCCAAAATACCCATGAGGTTTGCTGTAAGCAGGACTGTTCTGTGCAGCTCTGTGCTGCAGTGAACAGCTGAGTATCACCTTGTACTGCAACCTGAAGTGGAATAAAGAGAAGTGCCCTCTGACTGTGCTAGTGAGATGATCATCATTTCAATTGTGTGTCTTCCTGGCATGGAGGAGCTGGCCAAGTGCTCTTTGTCTGCACCAAAGGAGTGCAGGGGAACGTGGCTGCTCTTCAGGTTCCATTTGTGGAGCAGAGCCTCGATAGACCAGTCAGCACTGAGGGGAGGAAAAGGAGTGAAAACCTCACCCAGGGTTATCACTGCTGCTGTAACTCCAGCAGGCTCTCTCCAAACTAGTGCAGCACAGAGGGGTTTGTAGCAGTTTTCTACTTAACACCAAATTGGGGGTTCTTGGATTATTTTCAGATTTTGTTACCTCCAGGGTTTACTGGGCAAATAGCAGCCTGACTCACCATAAAGAGCTTTTCTGAGTCAGAGGGGTGCTGCCACACTCAATGTTCATCCACAGCTGACACAGGAGTTAAAATTTGAGTTTTAAATATGTAAAAATTTACCTTCGGACTTGGTATGTTGTCCAGAATTGAGCATGTGGGTTCTTCTCCAACAAGAAGTAAATTGTAGTTAAAATATCTTCAAAGTCTGTAGTTTAAGGAGATAAAGCAGTGTAGGTTAGTCTGGATTCCAGGTGTAGATAAATCTGCTATGAAATGGTAATTATAAATCAATGCAAGCACGGTGTTTCTGTGTATGAGAGACACAAGCAGGGCATGAAGGGACTCAGTTATTTACTTAATCTTCTACTCCCACACCCTCAGCTGGATTTATGGCATCTCTGAACTAGAATTAGCCCAGAGGAACAGGGTCAGTAGCACAGCGTCACCTGATCCACTGACACTGTTCCCAGCAGTACTTGGGACATGAACTCCTTGCAGTCACAAACCAAAGATACCGAAGAGCATTAACGTACCTTTGGGGTCAAAAAAGACATCCGAGCCCAAAATAACGTCTATGGGTGCAAGAGAGAGCAGCTCAGGGGACACGCGGCCCCAGGTGAGGCCGAGGACTGGCACGTGTGGCAGGCGGTTCATGAGGCAGCTGCTGCGGCAGCTCTGCAGGCACTGCGGCAGCTCCTCGCTGTCCGACAGGATCACCTGGGCACCGCACCTGGCGGCCACCACGCCGGGGAGGCTCACACCGGCACCGATCTGAAACCACAGAGTGTTCGTGGGGACCGCGGGCGGAGCCTGGCCCGCGGGTCACGGCAGGGGGAACCGGGCGGGGAGCGGGCGGTACCTCCAGCACTCGCTTGCCGGGCAGGCTCCGCCTGTGCGCCCACAGGTATTGGGCCAGGACCACGGCGCAGGGCCACACGTACGTGCCGTACTGCGAGTCCGGCACCTGCAAGACACGGGCCGAGGCGCTGTGCCGGGGTCCGGGAGCTGCCGCCGTTCCCCGCTGTGTCCCGGCTGCCCCCGGTACCTCGAGCACGCGCACGGCCAGCGCCGCCGGACCCTCCTGGAAGCGGTACCGCCGCGCGCGCTGCCGCCGCGCTGCCGCCATGGGCCAATCGCGGGCAGACACGTATGGGCGCCAGGCCGCGCCGGCCAATCCGCGCCTCCTCCCGGCGCGACGTCACGCGGAGCGCCGCCGCGGGCGCTGATGGCGATGAGGCGCTCGCCCAGCCGCGGCCTCCCCCCGGGACCGCGGTTATGCCGGACCGCTCCCGCCCGCACCGCTACCCCGGCGGGGCGGGGCTGGCGCCTCCGCGGGCCGCTTCCCGGAGAAGGGAGGAAACCGGGTGACACCCGGTCGGCCCGCCACTGTCCGGGGAGCAGCAAGCGCGGAGCGCCGGCCCGCCGCGGGAAGGGCAGCGGCGGCGGGGGGTTCCCGGTGTGGCCGCGGGACTCCGCCGCTAAGGGCGCCCGGTGCCCGCGCTGCCTCCGTGCCGCTCGCGCTGCCCTTCCTCAACATGGCGGCGCGGGGGCGCCGCTTCCCCAGCCTGGGCCAATCAGCGCCGAGGCGTGGCGGAAGCCGGGGCGCAGCCGGCCAATGGGACTGCGGCGGGGGCGGGGCCGTGGCGACAGCGGCGGCACGGGGTGAAATTTCTGGAAGGTGCGGCCGGAGCGAGGCCGGGATCGGGATCAGGATCAGGGTCGGGATCGGCTGCAGGGTCGGGCCGGGGGCCGCGGGCGGTGACGGCCCCCAGCGCCGCCGCCATGAACCACAAGAGCAAGAAGCGGATCCGTGAGGCGAAGCGCAGCGCCCGGCCCGAGCTGAAGGACTCGCTGGACTGGACCCGTCACAACTACTGCGAGACCTTCCCCCTCAGCCCCACCGCCTGCAAGGTGCGCCGGGCGGAGGGGAGAGAGCGGGATCAGGAATGAAAGGCTGGGAATGGAGAATAGAGGGGGGAATTTGGGAATGGAGGGGGGCGCGACTGAGCGAGTCCTGCGGGGAAGGGGAGAGACCTGAGGGGAACGGAGGGGGCTGGGGAAGCGGGGTGGGGGCACGGCTGGGGATCGGGGAGCCCTGAGGGAACGGGGATGGAGAGGGCGACTGAGGGGATCGGGAGCGCCTGAGGTGAAGGAGGAGCTGCGGGACGGCTGATGGGAGGCGGGAAGGGCCCTTGCCTGAGGCTGGGCTTGCCTCAGAGCTGGCGGCACCGAGAGGTTGGGTGAGGGACGGGACTTTCTTCCCTCCACGTGGCGAGGCTGTGGGAAGGTCAGGCCCGCCGGGGTGGAACGGGCACCCGCACAACTCCCAGGAGCGCTCCCCGGTGTCCCGAGGGAGTGACACGCAGCGGGGATGTGTCACCACAGGGCAGGGTGGCCTCTCCGCCCCGGAGCTGCCTCGGTGCGGAGCTGTGCCAAGGCTCCAGGCGGCGGCTGTCACTGATGTGTGCGGGGAGCGGGCCAGCAGAAACGGGGCTGCAGCCTCGGGGAGCTTAAAATAACCCAGAGGCAGCTCCACAGCCGCGTGGTGTGTGGAGCAAAGGATACGCGTGAAGCACCCCCACAAGCCAGCACAGCCCTAGGACGTCAGTCTGTCCTAATATCTGTCCTGCTTTCCTCCCTTGGTTTCACAGGATAACGTGGAGAGGGCCGATGCACTCCAGTTAACAGTGGAGGAGTTTGTTGAGCGCTATGAGAAGCCTTACAAGCCCGTGGTGCTGCTGAACGCTCAGGTGGGCTGGTCTGCCCAGGAGAAGTGGACGCTGGAGCGGCTCAAACGCAAGTACAGGAACCAGAAGTTCAAATGTGGGGAGGACAATGATGGTTACTCCGTGAAGATGAAGATGAAATATTACATCGAGTACATGGAAACCACACGTGATGACAGCCCTCTGTACATCTTTGACAGCAGCTATGGAGAGCATCCCAAGCGAAGGAAACTCCTGGAGGACTACAAGGTCCCCAAATTCTTCACTGATGATTTGTTTCAGTATGCAGGGGAGAAACGAAGGCCACCCTACAGGTAGAGTGACAGCAAGACAAAACTGGGTATTTTCCAGCTCATTGGTTGTTCCTAAATAGCTGGGATTGTCTCATATTTGGGATTGTCTCATCCCAAAAAAGGGATATTTTTACATCATCTGTGAAATGAATGTACCTCTGTAATCCTGCAGGAGAGAAGGGCATATTTTTATTTATAATAAATTTTTAATAGAAATTATTTATATCATAATTTCTCCTTTTGCCACCAGTGTTGCTGCAGGTTTATGGTTTAAGGGTTTTTTTTTCATTTTATTAAGCCAGTTTACATCACTTCTTAGATTTTTTTCAAAAATTACATAGTTACTGAGAGCTGTAAAGATCAGTTTCTTGCTGTGTATGCATTCTGGTGTTCTAATTTTAAATACCTCAGGAACAGCTCCTGGGTTTTGCACCAGTGGCTTATGTACAGTGTGGAATTTTGTTTAATTATGAGTCACTCCTTTTAAGGTAAAGATCTTAAGTTAGATTAGGATCTAATATGGGCACCAGTTCTTAGCTCCCCTTCAGGTGGTTTTGAGAGAGAATATTTCACATCTATGGGGTCTTTTCAGCTCTTTATTTTTGCTTCAGCTTGGAAGAGGGTGAAATGACATTTCATTCATAAATTCAAATGCAGCAACCTTGTGTTTGGGCTGCTAGGTAAGAAGCCATTTTTATCTGTGTTACTATGACACTTCATAGCACTGTGAGCTTAAGTTGAACCCTCCCAAGTAATTAAAGTCTTTCCAGTGCCATTATAATTGTCAGACAATGCCTGTTGCTCTTTGAGTGCCATGAGGCTGTGATGTGGTTTATTTAAATAAAATTGAGCAAGAGCTCATCAGTAATGGCACTTTGCACTCTCTCACGTGTCTGTAGTTCAGTTGTGCTTTTGGAGGAGTGAAGCAAGACCCTGATTCCATTTGAGATCACTGAAGGAGGTGTTTTTGCAGTGCTTTTCATAATTCTCTTCCAAGAACATACAATGCTGTGGTCAAACACAAAACCACTCTGGGTGTAGTAGAACTGGATACACTTAATGATCTGGAGATCATTTACCCAAGTTAGAGGTGAATGAGAGAATCTGGTTGTGTCTCATTTATTTTGCTGTCTGTGTCCTCCACAGGCACTGCTGAGCTCCTTGCTCTTGATCTTGGTATCAAACTTCTTGTATTTTCTGAAAAATGTGGGTATTTTTCAGGCTTTTTTGAGAGCTGAGTGATACACAAGAGCACAGTAATGTCTCCTGGAGTTAGAGGGTTCATCTAGGTACAGAAATGAGTGTGCAGTACTTCTAGAGCATAATTGAAAATCTGACAAGAAGTGCTGCTAATCATATGAGGAGGATACGACCTCTACAGGTTGATCTCTGGGTTGAGAGGTGTGTGATAGTGTGGAGACCTTAAAAGAGCAATTGGTGCTGTTGGGACATTTTTATTGGCATTGTTCCTCTTTAAAATAAAGACAGTAATTTCTAGAAGCCATTTACTGAAGGAGCTATTTTAATTTGAGGAAGGCAGCTGGGGTTTGCTTTCAGATTGAGTTTAGGAGTTGTGAAGTTTTTAATGGTAAGTTTGATGTCTTGGGGCAAGCTGTGTTTTGTTCATTGTAAATTAAGTGCTGGTAAATGACAGTGTTGCTAAATAAGGAGTTTAAAACCTGTGTGTGTAGATTCGGGTTATTGTCAGAAAAAGGATGGTGAACAGTGCTTCTGTCTGTGCCCTCAGACAGACCTTCATGTGTCTTATTTCTTCTGATTTCTTAACAAAAGTCTTGACTGTTCTACCTGTAGTTTAATCACCTTTCTAAGCATAAGAGGAATCTAAAGAGTGAATTGGCAATAGAAATGACAAACACCTGCTTGTTTACAGCTCCTTTGTTAAACAGGAAGAAATCATCTTGATAATCAAACTTTACAGTCCTACAATTCATGCTGACAAATGATCCTTCAAAACCAGTTTGATTTACACCTGCACTGGAAAGGGGAGATGGAGAACTTGCTGTTTTTGCATTCCTCTTGCTGGACATCACCCTCCTGTCACTGCACCATGGAGGATTGTGTTGGTTTCTGCACTCTCTGCTGCCAGTTAAACAATTATTGCTTTTTCTTTTTTCTCTTGGTGCCTGGTATGAAGTCACCTCACATTGCTTTTTCTGGTCTTACTGCTCTTTTCCAGGGAAAATGAACAGCTGAAGGTGCTGCTGTAGTTAAACATGTACAGTAGATAAAGTTCTCCACTGGGAGAAATAAACCCTGTAAATGGGCAGTGGGAATATAAACCTCAAATCCTGAATGGGCACTGGAGAATAAGCTCCATGTAGTTAAGTGTTGGAATGAAAAGCCTCTTGTGAATGAACAGAAGGGGAAGAGGGAGGCCAGGGTTGTGTAACTTGCTCTGTTCCTTGTTGTTGCTTTTTGTTCCTCATTGTTCTGCAGTTCTGGTCTGTTTGAGCAGCAAATTCTAGAAAACCATTGGAGAATCCCCCTCCCTAGGAAGAATCCCAACACAGGCAGTTGGGACTTAATCATGCTCATAAATTTTGAAATCACGATTTTATTGAATGATTTTATTAATAATTTTATTTATTAGGAAGAATCCCAATGCAGGTAGTTGGGACTTAATCATACTCATAAATTTTGAAATCACGATTTTATTGAATGATTTTATTAATGATTTTATTTATTAGGAAGAATCCCAACACAGGTAGTTGGGGCTTAATCATGCTCATCAACTTTGAAATAATGATTTTATTGAAGAACTGTTTAAAACAAAATATAGCTATGACACATAAAAACTCATTTTCACTTACTTATCCCACAGTCATTCATGTCTCAATTCATTTTGGTTTTTAGGTTGAACTCATGTTGTATCCTTTTGCTGCAGTGTGAACTTCACAAAATCAAGAATGTAAATTCATACTGTTTTTTAGGTTGAACTCCTGTTATATCCTTTTGCTGCAGTGTGAACTTCACAAAATCAAGAATATAAATGTAACTGTAGTTACTTTAATTTCTAACTGAATGTACAATGAGCTGCTGTAATTTTCTGTCCAACATGAAGAAAGGGACCTGCCTGCTCTATGACTAAAGCATTTTTCCCACTATGCAGATGGTTTGTGATGGGCCCACCTCGTTCTGGAACAGGAATTCACATTGATCCCTTGGGCACCAGTGCCTGGAATGCCTTAGTGCAGGGCCACAAGCGTTGGTGCCTGTTCCCAACCAGCACCCCCAGAGAGCTGATCAAGGTGACACGGGAGGAGGGGGGCAACCAGCAGGACGAGGCCATCACCTGGTTCAATGTCATCTATCCTCGGACACAGCTTCCCACCTGGCCCCCCGAGTTCAAACCCCTGGAAGTCTTACAGAAACCAGGAGAGACAGTCTTTGTGCCAGGTATGTGCAAATCTCTCCAGGAAGGAAATCTAGGAAGAAAAAAAAGCATGTTTGTAACATTCCTGTGTCATGGAGATGAACATTTCAGCTTTCCGTTTCAGCTTTTTGCGTTTCTTACAAAACAAACTGAGCTCATTTTGTTTTGACTGGGACTGTTCAGTTATTCCTGAATGTCACAAAACCTGTATGACCTGTGGCATAGGATTGCATGTGATACAGATGGCAAAACAAATGGGGTTTAAATTGCAGCATCACAGGACTGTAGTCTGAACTAAATTGCAGTAATAGAAAGCTGTCAGGGCATAAAATAATAGAGGTGTTTGAGCCCCAGTAACTCTTGGACAAAAATGTTTGAGTTTATACATGCTGGAGCAAATTCATGGCTGAGTTTTGCATGTGAATTTTTCTTAGCTGTGGGAAATGAACTACTTAAATGCACTGACACCTTCCACCCACCTCTCTATGGTTATGCTTCATCTTGCATTTGAAACCAAAAGCTAAATAAAGCTTTGCTGAAGATGCCCTTCCCTCTGAGTGGCTGCACACTGTGTGCCCATTGTGAGTGGGGGTGAGGTGAGTTCAGTAGCAGATTGTAACCTCTGAATCTTGCATCATTTATGTGCAGCACAGCCCATAGTTTCTGTCCACATTGCTTGTGTCTGACATCCAGCTGACTTGTTGTGTGAAGGGTGCCCTGTGATTGTCTTGGCACTTATTAGTGACTCCTGAGTGTACCTTCTGTTAAGAGTTTGTAGCTGTCAGGTTCCATTAAACTGTTCCCTCAGTCTTTTCTGGGCCTCTAAGTGGGTTGTAAGAACTCCACTATTTTTATCCCGTGTGGAAAAACAATTTTGCATCTATGTTTAAATGAAAGGTTAGTCTGTAGTCATAAGAACCTTGCAAAATCAGCGTGGAAAGTGCTCTCAGCTGAACAGAAAGGGCTCTGTGCAGTCTGGGTTACAATGGCTGCTGCTGTTAAATAAACTGTCAGCAGCCAGTGTGGTGCTGTCAGGTCACATCTTAGTCCTGGCTGTCAGCTGGGTAATTTGGTCAGAGCATGGAGAACCTGTCAGGCACTGTGGTGAAAGCTGAAATAAGACAGGAAATATAATGGGTTGGAAAACTCACCTGGGTTTGGGAGATGAGCTCCAGTTCCAGCTGCACTGTGGGAAAGGTGTTCTTGGCTGTTGTTGAACTTGCTCTCTGCCAGGCAGCCACCAATGGTCACTGGTGTTGTGTTTTAGGTGGCTGGTGGCACGTAGTCCTCAATCTTGACACAACTATTGCCATCACACAAAACTTTGCTAGTTGTACCAACTTCCCAGTGGTGTGGCACAAGACAGTGAGAGGAAGACCCAAACTGTCACGGAAATGGTACAGGTAAGAGATTCAGTGCCTTTCTTTGTATGTTCTCCATTGAAAACAAAACCTAAAATACTCATTAATGTGCAGTGTTACAATTCAAAGGCTAACCCTGAAATTTGAACTGTATTTAGGATCCTAAAGCAGGAGCATCCTGAATTGGCAGCCTTGGCTGATTCAGTTGACCTGCAGGAATCTACTGGTATTGCTTCTGACAGTTCTAGTGATTCTTCCAGTTCATCAAGTTCCAGCTCCTCAGACTCTGATTCAGAGGTAATGCTTTTTGCTGCAATAGATGATCCATATTTTGCATTTACATTGTTTTAACATGCCTTCATTCTTATATTCATGCCATATGGAATAAATTAATAGAAAGCAGCTAAATCCATCTACATGGTGGAGGAGACTGTGATTTTAGCAGGTTCTGTTTGGTGTGGCCTCTCTTCACGTTGCTAAATGGATTCAATCTGTTTGATCCATGTCTATATTATATATGAATCTGTCACTCATTTAGCTTGTGGAAAATAGCTGCAAAGTGAATGTTCTAAAAATTGGGAGAGGGGAAAAAAATGCAAAACAGGTCAGTTATGACATGGGACTCTTGTCAACACCTAAATCCTTCAGAAGCCAAAGTCTTCTCTTGGAAGATGAGGTCTGTGACTGTGTTCACAGGGGTCTTAGGATGAGGGAAGAGATGAGGATCTGACTCCATGTTTCAGAAGGCTTGATTTATTATTTTATGATATATATTATATTAAAACTATACTAAAGAATAGAAGAAAGGATTTCATCAGAAGGCTGGCTAAGAATAGAAGAAGAAAGAATGATAACAAAGGCTTTGGTCTTGGACAGAGAGTCCAAGCCAGCTGACTGTGATTGGCCATTAATTAGAAACAAATAACATGGGCCAATCACAGATGCACCTGTTGCATTCCACAGCAGCAGATAATCAATGTTTACATTTTGTTCTTGAGGCTTCTCAGGAGAAAAAATCCTAAGGAAAAGATTTTTCAGAAAATGTGTCTGTGACAGAGGTCCTTCTAGGGACCAATAGGAGCACATTAATTGTCTTGCCTCAAGTCAGCTTCACCCAGTGACGAAATCCAAAAACATCTCTATTCCTGACTTTTAAATGCTTAATTTAAAATTTCCTTGGTGCGTCCAGCCTAAAACAGCACGTTCAGGGTTGCTGAGCTCAAAGAACTTGTGGTGAATTGCACAGCACAGACAGTTGTTGAGGTTCCTCTGAGTTGTGGTTTCATTTTTCCATCCTGCAGTGTGACTCTGGCTCTGAGACTGAGGGGATGATGCACCGCAGGAAGAAGCGGAGGACGTGCGGGATGATGGGGAACGGGGACACAACTTCCCAGGACGACTGCGTGAGCAAAGAGCGCAGCTCCTCCAGGTGACCCAGGGCAGCTGTTGGGTTTAAACAAGCACAGGACATACAAGGGAAAGCTGGCACACTTCACATAGGGGATTCCTTATTCCTTACAGTATATTCCCACTGCCCATTTACAAGGTGGTGTAGTCCCTCCGTGAATTATTTTAATTGTTCCAAACAGCAAACTAAGATTATTGATGTTTTCTTTTTAAAAATCAGGGGGTTTTATTTAATAAACAGTCTTATTGCTTTTCCTAGTTGTCTCTTTTAATAGATGAGAGGGTTTGATTTTATCTTTGTTTAATGAGAGAGGTGGGATGTTATAAACTGCTCTTCAGAGAGCACAAATGAGTAGTGAATATTTAAAGATGAAGAATGATCAGGCAGCACTCAGATTTCAATGTCTTGTTCAAACAGAAAACCTTCAAGTAGTTGTATGGTTTCTCTTACTGCTGCCTGAACTATTTCAATTTATTCCACTGCTTTAATCTGTTAAAGACAAAATTCATCCTAAATTCCAAATGTCTGTGTTTACATTTTAAATAAATAAATAAATACATAAATATTGAGCAAGTTTCAGTCAGTGTGGAAGGAGACAACATTAATATTGCAAAATCAAGGGTAGTTATGCTTGGGGTAAAGTTGCTGAGGAAAGCAGTTCTCTGGACAGGCGAGGTTAAAAAGAGTGGAACACTGAGAATCTGGGATATACTGCAGGGAAGAACTTAAACATTCTTTGCTAAATGAAGCATTTTTCTCATATAGCAGAGGCCTGCCAAAATTCTTAAGCAAATTCCTTGCAGCTTGGTTAACCAGTGCTGCTGGGTTGGCTGCCTGCCTGCATTAGAGTGCTGGCCAGCTCTTGAGCTCTTGGGTGCTCCAGGTTTGGCATGGAGGCAAGTGCTGTGGTGGCTTGGTGTGTGGCTTGCTAAAGAAGGTGTGCAGCAGTAATTTACCTGAGCAAGTCCATATTCCAGCATGATTCCAGCCTGACTTCCCAGTGTGGGACTGCCTGGAGGCCTGTGTGCTCCTGTGGATTGCTCTCTTGTTCCCTGCAGTTGCTCATAACTGAATACAATTGAATTACAAGTACAGAGCATCATTAAAGGTTGGGGAGAACTGTACTGGTTGCTTATTTTGCCCTGGAGGTTTCTACACTTTGCTTGTTATGACATTGTCAAATCCCATTTTGGCAGCCAGTGTGACTTCAGGGAATGAGCAGCAGGAGAGAACAAACCTTTAATGCAGGCCCTGGTTTAAAATGAAAGCTGTAAAAACGCAGATCACAATGCAGATCTGTTCTTCTGAAAAACTCATGCACTTTTAAATTATTTGCCATTCAAATTTTGAAATGAATACCCTAAATATTGAAAATTAGCACCTTGCTTAGACTATTTGCTTTCTGGGTTTCACTGTTCTGCCTCCCATATGTTGATTGTGTCACTCTGTGAGGGTGGATGGGCGTTCTGTTCCAGCTGTGTGATGGCTTAGTTGCTAGAAATGCTTCCAAACATGAAATCTTAACCTTGCTCATGCAATGCTGGAGGCAGAATAAGCCTGAGATGAATCTGCATGCTGGGATCTTGTGCCCTGATCCAAGGGGAATGCTTAAAGGCAGTTGTACCTTTTTTTGACAGGATTAGGGAATCTTGTGGAGGCCGCAGCTACCCCTGAGGGATAACACCACCTACCCAGAGGCAGCTGCTGATGGAAGCTCTGTTAGCAGCCAGCCAGCTCTGTCCTACTCCCTCCTGCTTCTGTTTCTCACACTCCTTAAGTTTTTGTTATTCTTCCTCGATCCAGACATCTTCGTTTCGTGCTGTCCAAGGTTGGCTCCTGAATAACCCGTAGGGGAACACCCCAACTGTGTCCTTTGTGCAATGCTTTGTCCCCTCTGACCCCTGCACTACAACCCAGCTGTGGGTAAGGACATGCCAAGTATTTCATGGGTCACAGAACTGGCAAGGAAGGCAACGGTCAGTTTTTAAAGAACTCTTTTTAAAACCAGCAGGTGAATGGAAAAAACCTGCCTTGCTTTGACACTGTCATATGTTTACATGTTGTCCTGTACACTTGAGGAAAGGAACACCAGCCCTTTTGGCCTGTTGGAATGATTGGTGGATGTCACACCAGAATTTTGGGAAGAACAAGGAGGAAATGAGCTTCTGCAAGAACTGAGCTGTGGAAAATGAGTCCTTGGGTTTTACCCTGCTGCAGGACAGCGTTGCTGTCAGGGCTGCCACTTCCAAGTGTGTGTCTCATAAAATCCTGGAATTTGGGCACCTGGAAAGAACCCATCAGGATCCTTGAGTTCAACTCCTGGCCCTGCACAGAAACCAAGAACCCCACCCTGTGCCCAAGAGCATTGTCCAGACACTTCCTGAGCTCACACAGGCTCAGTGCTGTGACCATGGCCCTGGGGAGCTTGTTCCAGTGCCCAACCACCCTCGGGGTGAAAAACATTTTTGTGATATCCAACCTAAACCTGCCCTCACTCAGCTCCAGCCATTTCCTTGAGTCCTGTCACTGGTCACAAGAGTGAAGAGATTGGTTGCTGTCCCTCATGAGGATGCTGAAGACCCAAATGAGGTCTGACCTCAGTCTCCTCCAGGCTGAACAGACCAAGTGACCTCAGCCACTCCTCATACAGTTCCCCTCCAGACCCTTCACCGTCCTCATGGCCTCCTTTGGGTGCTCTCCAATGGCTTAATGTCTGTTAGATGTTGTGGTTCCCAAAACTCCAGGACAATCCCCTCCCTTTCCTGTCTGGTGATGCTGGGCCTGGTGTCCCCAGGACATGGTTTGCCCTCTGGGTGTCAGGGCACTGCTAACTCAGATCCAGCTTGCCACCAAGCAGGAGTTCCTAGACCCCAGTGCAGAATGTCTAACTCCTCATGGGTGGTGATTGCCCATCTCTAATTTGTTGAGGCCTCTCTACCCTTGAGGGAGTTGACAGCTCCTCCCAATTTAGTGTTTTTGGCAAACTTAAAATTCTTCCAGTCCTGTGTCCAAGTCATTCATGAGGATGTTGAAGAGCACAGGGATGAGGATGGAGCCCTGCAGAACCCACCAGTGAGCAGTGCCAGCCTGGTGTCACCCCAGTCACTGTCACCCTTTGTGTGCAGCCTGTGGGCCAGTGGCTCACCCCTCATGGAACACCATTAACCAGCTGTGGGCTGCACAGTTTGTCCAGAAGGTCACTGGGAGAGACAATACCCAAAGTTTTGCTGAAATCCATGAGGTGACATCCACTGCCTTCCCTAGATCAGTGAGGTGGGTCACCCTGTCACTGAAGGAGATCAGATTCAACAAGCAGGACTTTCCTTCCTGGAGCTGTGCTGGCTGTGACTGATGCCTGCACTGTCCTCCAGGTGTTTCTCAGCACTTCCCAGAGTCATCTCTTCCATGATTTGGCCAAGCACTGAAGTGGCACTGACAGGCCTGTGGTTTCCAGAGTCCTCCTCTTTGATTTTGAAAACTGGGACATTTGCCAGCTTCCAGTCAGCTGGAACCCCTCTGGATTCCCAGAACTGCTCAAAAATCATGGAGAGGTTTTGCAATGGCATCAGCAGCATCTTGAGGATTCTCAGATGAGTGCCATGAGGTCCCATGGATTTGCAGGCACCCATGTGGAGCAGCAGATCCTGCTGCTTTGGGGTCAGCTGGAAGTTGGACATTTTCACAGTCACAGTCCTCCAGCTCAGGGCACTGAGACCCCTTTGGTCCATCATCTGTGCTGAAGACAGGCAAAGAAACATTAAACACTCTGTTTGTGAGGAGACCATCCTCATCCTAGAATGGGCCAGTGTTATTTCTAATTTGCTTTTTGCCATTAATATATTGGAAAAAACTCTTTTTTATTTCCCTCACGATTCTGGCCAGTTTTGTCTCCAGTTGAGCTTTGGCCATGTGAATTTTCTCCCTACAATGGCAGCAGCATTTCTGTATTCTTCCCATGCCACCTGACCTTGCTTCCACTGGGTAAACACCTTCCTTTTTCATCTTATTTCCAAGAGAAGATCCCTGTTCAGCAAAGGAAGGGAAGGTGAATGCCCCAAGCACTGAAGCAATCTCAGCAGAGGTGACCACCAGCCTGAAGCATCTTTTGGGGTTTGGATCTGTGCGCTCCATGCACACACCTGAGGTGCAACACCTGAACCAGCAGCAGTCCTTCTGCTTCCACTCTGTCAGGGTGACAGGTGACAAAGCTGCACTAGCACCTTGTGATGGGAAGCTCAGTGGAGCAGGAGAATCCTGGAGTTTCTTGCACAGCAAAAACTGTGGCAGGAAAAAGCATTTGCCAGTACTTCCAATCCTTCAGGTGTGGTGTTTAGCACAAGGCAACTGCTGACAAAGTCTGGCTCTGGCAGGATCACATGTGTGAGCTTGGAGCACCAAACACTTCTGGGGCTGTGGGCTCACTCAGGCCAGTGCAGTCCACATCCCCAAATGGCTTCTCTTTGAGGTTGTACATTCAGACCTTGGTGAAAGATGCAGTGCCAATTTTAAAGGACTGAGGAGGGGGACATGTTGTTGTTTTATGCTTTTTAAAAATGCAATGTGTTGTTTAAGTCTGTGTGGATGCATTTGTATTATGCCAGGTAAAGCTCTTGTCCCCAAGGGATCTTCTGGAGCTGCTGGTTTGTTCTGTTAGCAGGGGCTTGTGCTGGTGGTGTCTCTGTGTGGCTGAAGGTGCTGCCAGGAAATCTGAATTTCCCATGGGCTGCTTCAGGGGGTGCTCTTTGAGCCCTTGGAGGTGGGTACAGAACTCACTTCAGCTGTTCTTTGTGAGAGAAAACTTGTCAGCAGAAGTGCTGTGCATGTAGGAAACACACAGCAATGCCCAGGCACTGATGAAAGAGCAAATTAAAGAGAGATTAAAGCCTCAACTGTGACTTTCTTAAACGTGTTGGGTTTGGTGGAACCTGGAGTGTTGCTTTTCTGGGCTCTCTGATCCATTTTTAACCTTGTCTGTTCCTTATTTAAACACTCCTGGACCATATCCTTTTGTATAAAGGAATCCTAAATATGTTGTTTTGGGATCTCTGTTTTTGAGTCTTTTGTGCCAGTAAGAGCAGTGTGGTGGTGGGGAAAGGGAAGTTTTATTGATATATTTTTTAGCTGTCCAGACTCCCAAATTTCCTGTGCTAGATAGCCAGGCATTAGCAAGCACACTTGCTCTGTAGCCACTGCAGATTCTTCCACAAGATCACTTTAAAAAATCCTCCAACTTCTCCAACTCCTGGCATTTCTGGCCAAGGCTGAACAGCCTGGGAGCCTGCACAGACTGTGTGTGTCCTCTCAGAGCTGTCTGCAGCTGCTGCCTTTTGGGATCATGTGGGGCCTGCAGAGGTGAAGGCTCACAATGCTCAGCTCTGTCACAGTCCTTGCAGAGCTGTCCCTTCCTCTCTGGTGGCTGGGCAGCCCTCAGTGAGCTGCAGCTGCATTTGACACACTTTGCACAGTCTGAAATCCAATGTGAAACCCTGATGGCTGTGCTGGGAAAGCCACACCTCTGCCTCTAGAAGCACAGGGGCAGGATGCAGTGTGCAGAGCATTCTGCCATGCCTGTCAGCTCTTCCATAGTGTGAAATAAAGCAATCCCAGGGGAAGCCTGTGGTGGTGTGACAGCCCTCACAGAAAAGCAGCATGTTTGCAGCAGACATCAGGATACCAGCAGCCCTCTCCTGACTGCTCCACAGGGCACTCCCTGCTGTGAAACAGTGTCTGTGCAGGCTTACCTGGCAATCAGGACTCTGGGATCTCCAGTTCTTCCACTTCTGGCTTTTGCCTGAGCCACTTTGGGGAGTCTTTGAGCAGTGAGGAAGATCCCTACCTCACAGGGCTGTTGTGAGGCTGAACTGCAGTTGCTGTGTAAGATGCTTTGGAGCCATCCACCCACAAAAATGTTCCATTCATCCTGAGCCTTCTGAGCCTGGTGGGAGCTTTTTGTAGCAGAAAACAGTGGGGATGTTGTTCAACACTCTTGGCCACGTGGTGTTCTGTGGTGGCCCTTCCAGAATTGCTGTGTGGTACACAAATTGTAGCAGAACAAGACTTGCTGTTTTCACCAGGGTTGAGCTGTTGCTGTTCCATGGCCTGCTCTAAACAGGGGGTCCTGCTAGAGCAGGATCTGGTTTTAAATGGGAGGAGATGCAATTTTCTCATCAGGGAGTCAGCTTCTCTGGCCTTACAGGAATGGGGGGAGCTGGTGCTTCCCAGGCTGGCTGAGGGAGGAACAGTTAAAAACTGTGCTCCCTTTGTGCCTCACTCTATGGGAAGCTGGCTGGGGACAGTGGGCTCTGTGCTCTCATTTCTCCAGGCTTGTGCTTCCTGGGACATCCTTGTCTCTTGTTCCAACCCTGCTGCTTTTGTACTCTGGAGGCCCTGGATGCAGCTGGTGCAGCACCCTGTGCACCCCTCATTTCCTTGAGGAGATTTCCTCATTTCCTCAAGCCCCAGAGCAGCAGCACAGCTCTGCCTCACTGCTCCGTTCCCCAGGGATGGCAGAGAGCCTCGGGCTGGGTGTCATTGTCACAGTGCCTGCTCCAGGAAGGGTGATGGGATTTAGGAGCTCTGCCTGTGCTTCAGAGCCTGGTGACGGCCACAGGCTGGGAGAGTTCAGGAGGAAATGATCCAGCACTCCATCAGAGCCACAAATGTGGGCAAGGGGCAGCAGTGCCAGCAGCTGTTCCTGCACAAGTGCTGTGGGAGCAGGTGACACCCAGGAGCCTCTGGCAGAGCTTCTTCCCCTCTCAAGCTGCTGTGCTGGCTCCAGTTTGTCTTCTCAGTTACATCAAACCTCTCCAAATGCTTCAAGGAAAGACAGCAGCCTCTTTCATAGTTAACCTCTGCTCTCCTTGAGTCCCCAGCCACTGTGGGCTGGGAAATGAGACTGTTGGCTGAATCCAGCCTGGAATGCCTCTGTGGGCACATTGTAACTGGGAGGTTTTTGGCATCCCCCTTGCAGAGGGGAAAGGAAAGTGTTACCCATCTGTGTGACAGTCCCACTGTCAGCTCCAAACCCTGCCACTGCCCTCAGCTGCTTTTATCACCCATCCAGCAGAGCTGGGATACTTGTCTTGTTCGGATGATTGTGGTTTTGCTTTTTATTTTAAATAAAAACAATTATTTTGCATTATCCTGTCACTTTCTTTCATACTGTGATGATATGAAAAAACCTTACAGGTGTGCACCTCTGTTAATTGTGCTGGGAACAGCTCTGGGGATGCT